TGGACGCCATATGCCGAGTGACTTCTCTCTCCATTCCAGCGGCACCAAGGACAAGTTAATTTGTCTTACGCTGCGTAACCATTGCTGCCGCACGGAGACTGTGCTCCATGTTGTCGCCCTGTGATTTGTCTCATCTGGAGTCCTTGATACAGCCTTAGCTGTAACACATGACCAAATCTTTAAATCAATCCGAACCAATCAGCCAATCTGCTGTAGTGCATCACTCTGCCACATTCATCCTCTTTTATTACATCCACAGGCCTGTCTGCTTTTCTCTTTGTTTTTTTTTTTTTTATTTTATGGACAAAAGCTGAAGGAACATAGCACGAAAAAAGAAAAAGAAATCAAGCCTGGTGTTTTCATGAGCAGTGAAAATCTAATTAAGACCAAGAGCTAGCACTCAGACTACAGTCCCCAATTTCTTTATTTTTGGAGACTCATCTCCGGCAAAGATCTTTTTTTTCTCTGTTTGTGTTTGTAGTCGTTATTTTTCTTATTTCTTGTGGTTAACAATGCAGATACACTGAAACATCAGCAACGCCTGGACCGCCTTCAAAGAGTTATGATTTAAAAAAAAACAATAGTCGACGTTTTTGTGTCTTTTTAAAGTGTTGCAAAAGGCCTAACTCCTTATGATGTTTTTGTTGTCCCGCTGATTTTTGGTGGATCTGACATCATCAGTGCAGCGGGGTCTTCTGAAATGTGAAACATCAGCTGCAGTACGTACAGACAGTTGCTGTATTAATCCATCAAAGAGGTTTTAACAGTGAGCAGTGTGTTAGCTCCCTGTTGCTCAAAGGTATGCAACTTGTTTGAATTTTGGTGTTCTGAACATTACCAAGTTATTGTACTGTGAAGATTTGAATTAAAAACAGCAGGTGAAGCAATAAAAAAACAAACTTTAATTTATTTAAATGTGCACGTTGTGTGTTGTTGTTCAGTCCCTGTTTCATGACACATGTTCAAAGGTTTTGGTACTGTGTTTGTGTTTTGAAGGTGGAAACAAAACGACTCGTTCATCCTGCTAAGACCAGGATCACGTTACTCACTGGTGGGAGGAAACTTGCACATCAGCCATCTGAACAAAGAGGAAGACGTTGGCATCTATCAGTGTCTGGCATCAAACTCCTTCGGCACCATCGTCAGTCGAGAGGCCAGTCTGCATGTAGCCTGTAAGTCAAACTGTCTGACGCACTTATCTCAAACTCTCTTAAAAGGGCTTCAAGGCAAACAGTGCTTTACAGAAACAGTGGAAAACATCAGTTGTTGTTGTCAGTGCCATGGGAATTGAAGGCTGTAAGTTTACAATATAAATCTGCAAAAAGTGTTTAGAAATAAAAAGCATGTACTTCCCTGTTTCACCCTAAGGGGCTGCTGTAAATGTAATTTGATGGCAGTGAGTCATGAGTTGACGACACAGGTGCTACGTTACTTTACCTACAATTCAAGTCCTGTAATTTGATCGAAATTTGTTTTACATTGATATGTTATGTGGAGCCTTAGCTCAGTCTTCGAAGTGTTAATCAAAGTCACACTGGACCAACAATACTTCAGTGGACATCAGGAAACACCAATGAACGGCTACTGAAATGAAACTTAATAATTCCCTCTAATAATTATACATCAGAGATTTTTAAATACTTCATAGGCATTGCTAAGCTAATGCTGCTCTCCAGTCATGTACTTTTCACTTCTGTCACTTCTGCTTTAGAGGACAAGGGCAGCCTCACTGTAGATGAAGACACTGCAAGATGACCGCGAAGACGGAGTTAAATAATTTGATCAAATCTATGGTTTAGTTTTTATTTGTGGCTTCATATTTTAAATGAACTGTCACCTCTTTCTTAAATATAAAAAAAAACATTTAAATCAATACACATTTTCGGAAGTTCCCACTGCTGTTTGAAGTTTCAGGGAGAGAGAGTTGTTGGGGGAGTCGGGGAGATTGGGGGTCGTGAGTTTTCCAGACTCATGTCTTATTGACTTAGCAGAGATATAAGTCTATTACATTGTGTGCGACCACAGTGACCTTGGCTGCTGACCTGAAACAAGACGATATATACACTCTTGTGTTTTTTTTCCATAAAAAAAGATCATTGGTTCCAAATCTAGGAGGATTCCATTTCATTGTAATCTCTAGATATTCTGGGGGTCATGGCAACCTTCACTTTCAACATCTGCCAAATCAACAACCAAATCCTCCTCACTAAATTCAAATTTGAAAGTAAAAAATACATTCATGCCTCCGTTATCTACAGCTTCTTCCTCTGAAATGTTCCTTTATTTCACATTGTTCATCTTTTTAGAAAGAAGAAGTAGTAGAAGTACCAGGAGTACAAGGCAGGAATCAAACCAGTACAATAGGCCAGGAGCAGGGAGGGGGGAGTCGTGCTTCCGCCGTGTCTCACAGTTATCATGTTGTTTTGGTGTATGTGTTTCTTTTGGTTTATCATTGACCTTAATTATTCTGTCACCGTTCCTCAGGTTCAGAGTTTTGTTCAGTTTATAGTTTTAAAAGTTTCTTTTAACCATAACAATGTTTATTTGCCAAAAATACACTGACACGAGGGGATTCTTTCAGAATTGTTGCTTGTTGTCTGATCCTCTGAAACCTCAAACAAGGAGCGAGCCGATGTATCTGTTTGAGTAAACAAGTCAGCTGCTCTCTTTCCTTTAAGCCTGATTAAAACTTTCGCCGCTCTTGTTTACACTCTGTGAAGGTTTCACACTTCACACATCTCCACAGCCTCATAATGAAGATTCTGTGATTGTGCGGTGGGCCTTGATGGACCCCGTGAAGTCGATGCTTTACAGCCTTCATCCATCACGTTTTATAAGACCCGAGTCTAAGGCGTCTCTGATGGCAAGGTGAACTTGAGGCCTCCACTCTGATGGGCAGCCTGTGTCAAATGACAGCTCTTAAATCTGTGAACAGATGGTGCAGCGAGATTGAATTCTGACGTCTGTTTCTTCGCTATAACAGTAGCAGGGATGATCCTTGGCACTGGGAGCACCAGAGGTATCCATCTCACCACTAGTTGGTGCTGCCTTGTCACAAGAGAAGCAAACAATTCTTCAACATTTTGGGCCAACTGGGACCTGGGCGGCGAGCCTGGCTGTTGATCATATTCACATTTCCAATTAGTTTATGCGCCTTGACTTAAACTGTATGTCAGACTGATTGGTTTCATCCATCCTTTTATTTGCAGACCTCAACCTGCTGCTTTTGTCAATGAATGAGGGCAGGCGTCAGTGCTGATGTGTCATACGTCTTATTTATTGCGCTCGGTTTAACTTAATTAAGTGTGCAGTTTGATTGAGCGGGTCTCAGGTCAGGGGAATAATTCATCTGAGGAGCAGACATTTATCCGCTCATTTGTAACACACTCAGAGTAGCTCAATTTGACACCAAGGGCCATGATCCCTAATCTGTCTTTTAATGACTTCATGAGACAAAAACCAAGGTAAGGAGCATCAGTGAAAGAATCCATGGATCTACGTTAATGTGTTTTTGCACCGCTGCAGAAAACTAATGCAGACCAAGTCATTGTCGTTAGGGCCGTAACGGTACGGGAAGCCATGGTTTGGTTCATAACTCGAAATGAAACGTGAGAAGACTTTTTGTCATCTGTTTACAGGTCAGACTTAACTACAAAGCTAACACGGCTCTGTAATATAAAAAAGAAAAAATGATAGAGAAGGATGTTAAGTGCAGCGTGCCTGATACCTCTCATCCTTCTGTTCTGACACAGCCTCTCTCAGCTCCTCCGTCTGGTATGTGCTTCTCATAAATAAGGGGAATTCGATTTGCATATATATTTGCTGGTACCAGTCATATCCACGATCAGATCATACTGTTTGATGTTCTATGTCTCACTAGTGTGATAGGCCACTTCTACTTAACAATGACGACACGTTTCCTCCCTTTATTCATCTGCCTTTCCCGACCGTTACTGCAGCTTTTATGGGACGCGTGTTCCCAACAGCAGACCTGAAGGAATCACTTCCTCTCGCCTCAGGAGGCTAGTCCGTGCTAACTGCTAATTAATGTAAAGTCGCTGGAAACGGTCGTCGGATGACTTGTGTAGACACATCAGAGTTGTGGTTATTTATTTATTTATTTTTAATTTGATTTTTAATTCTTTCCACAGCGTTACCATGGTTACCCCTGACACAAATTATCTTGATTGAACGTGTGTATTGCGTACGGATACAGGTGCCGTAATTGTCATCGTTACACATTCTCGTAGAACTCTAAATGTATTCTTTTATAAATACCAACTGACATGTGATAGTTCACACAGCTGAAGATTGGTATCTCAGTTTTGCGTCCGTCCATGATGATCCCATACTATTACATTTCCATGGCATGAAAACACATGAGCTTAGTCCAGATAGCCTACATTTAAATCCTCTTAAAGATGGATAATATAACAGTTTCTCCTCCCATCTGGTCTGAGATTAAACCTCTGCAAGTACGAGGTTCTTGATCCTGTTGACAATGAAGACTTAAATATTTAAAAAGGTTCCGTCTGCCTGGTGGGACTGCTGCAAGGAATAATCTAGTTGGTTATCAGGCCAGATTAGGTTTCCTAATCTCCCAGAGATATTTTTTGCCCTGAGTGAAAGGATTTTGCACTGCTACAAGATGAAACGTTACACAATAGATTTTCAGGGCCTGTAATATAAAGTGTATTGGATGCTTGTCACGTTGAGGTAACATGCTGCAGCCTATGCTGTGACGTTTATTGAGCCACAAGGGCAACACGGTGTGTAATGAAGGGTGAAATTGCTGTATTTATGACAGAAATGCAGGATGTGACTCTCTTGTAACTTCAGTGCTCATGATACCTCCGCCTATAATTGCACCTCATACGACTCTGATTCAACTGAACTTTCTTATCTGCATAATTACTTTGCACAATCTCTCTCTCTCTCTCTCTCTCTCCCTCTCTCGTCATTTTCATTAGCTCCATACACTCCAGACTTTGTTGTAGCCTGAGGTAGAAGTGAGGTCTTTTTGAGGCTGGAAACCATCTAAGAAAAGGGACAATGACATTTGCCATCAGTTCTGTGATGCGAAGTGCTCAATCTGGGTTTCAAATCATCACACACGCACACAAACATACGGGGGTGGGGGTTGGGAGGGGGTCGTTTTACTGAATGCTTCACAACAGTGCTGCAGTTGTCAGGAGAAACCTGTGGTGGGGCTACTTGAGAACTACCCCTGCTTTGATGCTTATCACGTCTTAAATGTCATGTGTCAGTAATTCCGAGGATCCGATGCACAATGTCTCAAAAAAGAAACGTCTGTCTGTGCTTTAAGAAGCCAGGTAAACAAAAACATCATACATATTTATATAAGGGGTGCAGCAATACACAAAATTCACTGTTCAGTTCCGTCCCTTCAATATTTTTTCAATACAAAAAAGAAAAAATGTCCATGCCTTTTTTAACTTGCGCCCGACATTGCAGCCTGAGGCAGATTCATTATATATATTAGTTCAAAGTAAATGTGACTTTAGCATGACTTTATTTTGACCGTAACAATGATTATAGATTGAGATATCGATGCTCTCTCTGTCAAGAAAATAAAAAAAAATAAAAAAAACAGGGAATGTCAACCCATTTAAAAACATTAGGTTAATTAAAAGTTACAAAGCAAGTTTTATACTGACAACTAAGAGTATGGGACAGAGGTGACATTGGGATAAATGGGCGGTAGTGAGGCACAGACTGAGTGTTAATCATGTGTCCATTATTATAATCATTATTACTAGGAGTGTATATTTTGGTCGCCCGTTTTTCTGCATTAAGTCTTAGTGTTTTAATTAAGTTGTGAATCAGTCTTGGTGCGAATTAACTCTGAAATACTGTTTGATTTAAATTTTGTTTTAGATGTAAAATAACATTTAGTGGAGATTACAGGAAGTTAAAAATGTGATGTGTATTATTTTTGTGTTTTAAATGATTTATTTAAAACACAAAAATAATAATAAATATAATATATAGTACTATATATAATTATTATGACAAATATAATTAATTTAACACAATTATAATCATACTAATCTTATTAATTATTAATACAGTTGTATTCCTTTTGTGTGTTAGTGGTCATCAAATGTGACCACATTACTAGGCGTCCCTTATGTCAGACTTTGGGATAATTTTGGGATAATTTTACACCCTTTGTGAAATTGCCTTTCATTGCCAAAAATGGGTCACACGGGAGCAGCAGGCCCAAATAAATGCAAATTTTCATCCAATTTCATGGCTGTGAAAACACTCAAAGTAGTCTGGTCCTGGCCGCGGAGAAGCACATGGAGGTGTAGAACCATGATAGGCCTGATAAGCTGATCTGCAGGGTGCAGAACAGCTTGGGTTGTCAGGCATTGTTGGCTTTTAGTGTGTCTAGCTCATTTGTGCCTCACAATACTCTCAAGGAATATTAATCAGGAGAGTTTCACTCTCTGTGTGAGTGGAGCCGCTCTGCTATTTTCTACTCCGTGAGGTTGGTTTGGTACAAAAAAAAGTTCAGTCTAAGTCTTTGTTTTGTTTATAGTGCCTGCTGACAGAAAGGGATATTGGAACAAAACCACCCAATCGGGACAGAATGTCTGTTCCTGTGATATACAGCTTTGCAGACGCAGCTTTGTTCACACACCTGCAACCAAACACAGACATTTGTTGCAGGTGCTTATCGTTGAGTTAAACAGTAGGAGCTTTGATTCGGTGACTAAGAGCAAAGAAATACTTTTTTGAAGATCTAATGGAAAGAATTGACGAAACTAAAAAGGCAGACATGGATAATTAAGCTCGACGACGTGAAGCTTAGTGGAAAATAATGAAATAATGTTGACAAAGTGATTACAATGATTGACAAAAGATTGACAAATATGCTACCATGAGTAGCATCCGTATTTACTTATATGCCACAGTGAGGCTGATGATAAAAACAAAATTAATGTGAGTGCAATAAACACTAAAAATGTGTGTTGTGCCATCGTCACTTGCACCTTGCAAAATGTCCTCCTATTTGCCCCCACTTGTCATGTCTCCGTTCCCCAGCACTGGGGCCCGCCCCACACTGCTTTAAGTGACTGTTAACACTGGCGTCTGATGATGGTGGCAATTATAATAAGAATCAAAACCCTAAATCTGTACCAAGTTTAAGTGATTCTTTTGGTCTGAATTATATTCTCATATTCTGTGTTATCTCCAGCAGGGGGCTAACGTACCTGTCTGAACAATATCATAGTACTGTATATGATGAGAACTGTGTGTAGAATTTGAACTAAAACACTTGGTTCAACACCTTAAGAATCTGTGCCATATAAAATGTGATGTCAGACTCCTGCCAGAGCTGTTGTACTTCATTGTACTCTTATAGGCAGTGCAGTGTACGGTGGCAGGTGAAGGAGTGAAACAACAGCTTTTTACTTACAGCACAGTTGTGCTGCAGGCAGAGCTCGGCCTGTCAGACCATCACTTTGGTTCACTCTGGAATTTATCATTGGTACAGACACCAGTTGTCCACAGATGATGTACACCACTGGTCTTTTTTATGAACACGTCCACACTGCTATCAGGCTTGTAAAAATAGAAGTCCATAAAAAGGAAGACTTTTCATAGGAGCCACCCAGTAGTGCTAGAGAGGGGGGGGGGCAATATGTAGATTGAGGTCCATGAGTGGCTCACAAAGGGATTGCTGGTAGATCATAAGCAAATCAAACAAGAAACAATTGAATATAAATATAATTTTAAAGTGTGTAGTATTGACTGCATACTGTGAGAATTAAATCACACTGAGCTGCATGTATTTAATCAGCATCCCAACATATAGGGTATATAAGTATATATAGTATATTGAAGTTATATGAGTAAATATATATTAATGTACTGTATGTTGATGACTTTAACTTGGTCATTTGAAAAGTGTGGGCACGCCTGTAAATATAGCAACAATAATAACAATTTATTATTATTATGTTATTTTTTTAATTATAAATATAATTATAGTTTTTAATTTTGTGAATCGTAAAAAACAGATGATTAAAGAAAAAACAGTACATTTGGATGAAGCATCCTGGGAGAAAGATCATTTTATTTCTGTCTGCTTGTGTTAAGTAGGTGCAGGTTTATTTATTTCTCCGAGCTATGATGTGCCCATGTTTCAATTTTAATTAAAATTGAACTTTAGCGAGGAAAGCTCAGCTGAGTGTTTTGATTGAGTTTTTAATCTATACTGTGATTAAGAGCATCACGACATGGTATTGATTGCACCCGTGAAGATCGCTGTCACACACAGCATTAAACATCATAATGGTGAATTGATGGTTTCTCTCACATTTTCTCTGGAGTTCCATCAGCTCCAGACAGATTTATAGGCATTTGTCTGTTCCACTGGGAGCAAAACTGGACCAAATCTGCCGGAGAAGCTGTATGTTATTACTCATTGATCAGCCATACGTTTGGAATCGGCCACTGAAGCATCGGCTTGATCTGTCTGCACCAAATATGAAAGCTTCTAATTATTTTTGTGAAATTACAGGAGCCTCCAACAAAATCAATAAGGCAGAGACAAACAAACAAAGGCTCTTTGTAACTGAAGGTTCGTGTCAAGAACAGGTTTTTGAATTTGTCAGACCAAAGGTCACCCCACAGTTCCTGTCTGTCAGAGTCTGTCATTTTGGCAGTATTTACTTTTTTGAATGCAGCCTTGATTATGTCTTCATGCGGCAGCAGGTTATTTGGCTGAGCCGCCTGTGATATCTCTGAGCAGCGGGCAGGCGAGAAAAGGCAGAGTCTTCAAGGACCGCTCTCTCTATTTTCTTTCTTTCAGACGTTGTCAACACGTAATCGGTCCCCATACAAATTATGTTTCAGTCTTTGTCATTTAATTGTTGCCGGTCTGTGTGCGGTGGATGAAACACAGAAAGTGATAACAATGCGCAGTTCCAATTAAAATCACTCAAGTGTGACTTATACTTGAGGAATTGCTTTCTGCCTCGCTCTCAAGTTTTCCTGGGTTTTACTTTGCCTTGTTTGCATTTATGCAAACGGAGCGCCAGGGTTTCGTGCACAAGCATGACTTCTGCATCATATCTCTGGGTAAACTCTGGTTTGTGTCAAATATGAAATTACTGATGAGCTCTGGCGTCTGAAACTTCCAATTCCAAAAGAGACATTGTTGTCATTTGAACCGTTTCAGTTCAGTGCATTTCTGCCTTTAAAGGGCTGTTTAATGTTTTTAAAAATACTGTTGTCATATTACAAAATGTAATCAAATTACGCAAATTGGGTATTTTCATGTTTTTTACCCATTATACCTAAGTAAAAACACCACCGACTACTACATTATAACAAATTAGAACTCTGCTCCTGCACTGCTACTACAATTGTCATCATTGGTTTGGGTAGAAGATGACAGCAACACTATGTTGTGTTGTAATGTGACATATAACACTGTCCCTATTTGATAGTAGTAGATGTCTATCACAAAACATTCATTCTTATTTCTAGATGTTTTGTGTTTTAAAAGCAGAGTCTGGTGAATTTGGTCCATTTACAGTAGAAATGTTAAATATCACCCTAATGCTAAGGAGCCACATGGGGCTCAGGAGCCACAGTGTGAGAACCTCTGGACCAGCCTCAGACGTGACTTATGTTTTATCTTGTCCGTCAGAAAGACAGATCAGAATTCTGTTTTCATTGTTCCTGTTTTTATTTTATTTTTTTGACAGATCTGGACAACTTCAAGACACAGAGAAGGAGTCCAGTGAGGGTCCGTGAAGGTCAGGGAGTGGTCCTGCTGTGTGGCCCTCCCCCTCACTCTGGAGGTAAGTTTTTCCCTCAGATGCTAGAAGGCAGCAGGTAGATGTGTGTGTTCCACATTTGGTTTTTTTTTGACCCAGCCAAATGATGGAAATATAAAAATATGGAGAAGTGTCAGTAAATACATGAGATGGTGTTTTAAGATTTCACAGCATGTGAAAATAACACTCTGTGTTGTGTGTCATTCTACCATGCGTTAAATCATGTTATCAGACGTTTCTTGACAAATAAACGCTATAAATGATCCCTATCATATATATTTAGCCCCATTATTTCCTTAAGTTTAAACATCCATATTTACACAACTCATACTCAATGTATGGTAGCTGCCACAGTATGATTATTATGCATGACAGACTGTGTTGATGCTGACATTGGTGTCAGTTGACAAGGTGTGTTTACTGTATAAATGGCAGAAGGCACTCTACCCACTATATGTTGCACATTTTTAAATAAAAACATGAATATATGGAACTCAGTGTTATTTCACTATCTTAGTTACACTTTAAAATAACCAGATACAATTTACATTTTTTTTATTTTTTTTTTTAAATACCTTTTTATATAATTTCTTTACAAGTGGTTCCCTGCTCCATCTCTCCTCTTTGGGAATATTTTTCCTACAAAACTGGGTAGTACTGAGCACCTTCTAAGTGGGGCTGTACACCTCCAACACAGGTGTAAAAACAGTACATTTAATCCATACTCTAATTTTGTTCTTTCTTTATAGATTGTTCTTATTTATTATTTTCTTTTTTCTATATCGATTTATTTGTACTTGTACTTACTAGTTGTTGGTTCTGCTGGATCTCAAATAAAAAAGTAAAAAATCACAAAAATTGTGAAAAAGACATATCTTATGTCTTTTTCCCAATTTTTTCATTTTTTCCACCTTTATTTTGCCTTAGTCAAACGGAATGGATTAATTTAACAAATAGAAAACAGTGGAAGCTGTAAATGATTAAATTTAAGCTTATTATATAACTTTAATGTGATTGGTGCTTGCTCTGCAGTTTATTTCCCATCAGTCAGACGTTGGGTTATTTTTCACTGGGTCAGCGGTCGGTCATGCAGCGTGAGGTCTAGTATCATTAACTGCATTAAACAAACATGCACAGGACGTCTCTCTGTAGTTCATCATCCAGCCTCTGTTTATGTGGATGACGTAGACGTCATCTCCTGGTTTTTGTTGTCTTGTTGTTGATCAGTGCAGTGAGTCATTTTTACTTAGCAGCACTCTGGGTCTGCCAGCCTAAATTTTTGTGGGGCACAGGGGGAAAAAAAACGTTGGCATGCAGGGTGGAGAGTCTGTCTGCAGCTGGGCCTCTGCCAGGCTGAGTAATGGAGCTTCTCTGTGAAGGTGCTTTGTTTGCCTCAGATTAGCCCTTTGCTACCGTGACGTTATCAAAAGGAGTTAGCAAGCGGTGCTATTAACTTCTACACAGGGGTCTCAAATTGGGTTTTTGCTCCAACAGTCTGTGAAGCTAAAGATATAACACCAGAGCAACACACACTCATTATTTGTAAGGATCGCTGTTAAAGAGTGTAGTGATACTGATCTTATTGTAAGTGCTGGTGCTAAAAGTACATAAAGGCTATATATGGGATTACAGCTACCATCACTTTGTGAGGTGGCCGAAAACTCTGGGCTGAGTTGGTAATATCTGAGAAGACTGGTGCAGACGAACCTCGGAATAAGATTACTTTTTTATTATGTTTAAATTAAACGGTAAGCAGTTAAAGGAATAATATTTATGATACATATAAACAAATAAATCAGTATTAATGGACTACTGTGCAGTGGACTGTTAGCATAAACACAATGACTATTGTGTTTTCAAACTCAGTATGTTTTAAAGAATATATCTTTTTTTAAACAAAATGTAAAACAGTTCTGGAAATTAAAATTTGTCTTCCAAATGTTGTCTTTGTTTGCCTAAAAATGTAAATTGGTGAAAAACAATTAGTTCATTTATTCTTTTGCCAATGGTGTTTGGCTTTTAGCATGTCAAAGTTAAAAAAAAATCTGTCAGTGACAATGGCAGTTAGACAGAGTGTGCATTAAGTTCATCTGGAGTTCTGCGTACAGAGCTGGTAGCGCTAGGCTAATTAGCAACTCCAGTTCCATGCTGAGCTTTTCAGAAATAAAACAACAGCGCAGGATAAAAAAACCTGAATAAAGTCAACACTTTATGTGCCTAATACAACGTAAATAAACACACACAAACAGCCACTCACACACACACACACACGACTCAGAAAACCCTCATTAAATTTAAAAAAACATTAAAAATGTCTTCAGTGGGTTCAGTCTTTGGTTTATTTCCAGCTTGTTTTTGACCTAGTAGTGAACGTTTTTGTTTCATTAGGCCGTCCTGTCTGTTGTCGATTTATAAAGACATTCATTGATGAACAAATCATTTGTAAACATATCATTTCATTTTCAATAATGTAAAATAGTTTTTAAAAAAATATAATTTGTCCCTATTTTTTTTAAACATTTCACAACTTGTAATTCCATTACCAGCCACTGTAGCTTGCAATAAAGTAAAAAAAAAAAGTAAAATAAAATTGACTCAGCCAAGTTTTCTAAAATAATACTATTCAAAACTAAAGATGTCATTGTGCTAAAGCAAGAAGGTTTTGTTGATGTAAAAACGTTAGAAGCAAGTTTTTTATTCCCTTTAGAACTTTTTGCGGGTTTTTTTCTTCCTTTTCTCAGTGTTAAACTGTATTTACATAACAGGATTGAACTCATTATTTCCTCGTGTTTTAAGTTTTGTCACTATAACTACACAAAGTGTTTCTAAGCAGCTTGCTGGCTGCAAACAGAGCGGTTATTAGGGCTGTTTTTTAAATCTCATAATCACTAGTAAACCTAGGAGTAGGCTCACATTTGTCGTATTTTGTTCGGCGTATGTTTTAATGAGACACCTCACCTCGTGTTGACAGGAAAAGCTGGCACAATGAGCCATATGCTTAAATTTGGCAGCCTCGTAGTGTAACGGCTTTTTAAGACACATCCCCCAGTGCAAGGTGTCCAAATGCCAGCTCACATAGACGCCAGCCAAAAAGTAAAACAGCAGAATTGTCAGGGTTGTTTTGCTGTAGTAGCGGTGTCCTGACAATGTCCAAAAATATTCTGAATGCAGCACATACTGCCATCTGAATGCAATGGTTTGTTCATTATTCACAGGAAACAACAACAGTTGAGCCAGAGAAGCCGCGCTGCAGCTGTACCATACACTTTGCATTATACTGTCCTCCTGCTTGAATGCATAATGCACTGTCTGCTGCTGAGGGGCTATGTCTTAAAGAGGAAGACGGATTCCTTTGTGTTAGGGCAGCTACTCTGGGAGTGGCCCAACTCGGGGTGGGTCAGACATCTATTAGTGTAATGGGTTCACATTGATGGACTTCTCCCACATACAGATCATGAAAATTTCACGATCCACATTCGTACTGGTGGACACTCACACACAGTGAGTACAAGACAAATAGAAGACAATTGTACACAAGATATTTGACAAGATCAACAGGTTGTTTACTGCAGAACTTCACTGCAGTTCTTTGAAAACAGCTTTGCTATAGTTGATAAACTCCGTCCAAAAATCAAGGAACCGAGTGCTTTTGGTGCTTTTAGTTCATTGATACAATTCTTTGGAATAATTCTGCAGTCTTTAAGAGGGAGTTACAAAACTGCTCTTTGCTCATTGTCTGCTCACTAAGTCATTTTCTGTCCAGTTCTTCATTTCTCTGTGTGGATCTTTTGTATGCGCTCTCGCTCTCTCTCTCTCTCTTTATATATATATATATATATATATATATATATTTCCATTTTGTATCCAATAACTATTGCTAACATTACAAGTTTTTATCCATTCATCCACCATCCATCCATCTCTCTGTCTGTCCATCTACTGTGAGCTGAGAGCTGATAAGTAGCAGTACAGAAATATATTTGAAGTTAAATAGTTTAACGTTAGCTGTAATTGCACTCTCTAATTGTAAAGGCACGTACAGTACATAAAAACACATGGCAGGTTGTCAAACTGTCACACGCCACGATATGAGAACAATGATGAAGTGACAGTGACTTGTTAGACCTGGATCTGTGAGAATCACAGCTGCCCATTACACACTGATGTACATCTAGTCATGAATGAACAGACTAATCCAGGACCTCACGCCCATACCTTGTAATCCCTGTTACTTCATTTAGCCTCCTTGAACAGGATTTCCGCTGCCTTCGTGCATGTGTTATTTTAACAAGCAGATGGTTTAAATCAGCAGGGAGTCTCTGCTCTTTGCCCCGTGCTCTCCTTTTAGTTTGATGCAGCGAGGGGAGCTGAGGATATCAATGCAACTTCTCCCTCTATAAACACATTTTTTTTATAAGATTGCCCCAGTTTTTATGGCGCTTTTCAAGACTTCACTTTGTTTGTTGTGACTCAGATCTTGCATATTTTAACAGAAATCAACCTCCAAATATGGTTATTAATCAGTGCACTCGCAGAAAACTGGACTAAAATGTCGCAGATAAATTCCAGGACTTTATGTTCTTGTTTTCGAGGCAAGTATCCATTGATGTATTTATTTATTTGTTATTCGCACTCATCTTCTATACTATCTGTTACAAGGAGGCTAAAAAAGTAGCGCAGTAGTTGCAGTCGGCACTCCTAAATTACACCTGGCCCATATCTGTCAAACACAGTCCAACACGAAGGATTTTCTGCACCTGTTCCTGAACAGAGACAATAATTATAATCACACCGACGTGATTCTTCCATAGGCTCATCTATTCACATTATCTAGTGTGCAGAGAAAACACATCAGGTACATTAGGTGCTATATATATTTTTTTTTTTTTTAACTTTACTTTTACTTTATTTTTTCTTTACTTGTGTTTTACTCAGAGGTATCAACATGAAAGATCTTGGGCTTATAGTATTTAAGTATTTATAATGAGTATTTATTAAATCATTTTATTTAAATTCACACAGAT